GAAGCTGGGCTAGAATAGCAAAAGCAGTGAACTGAGTATCAATCCCAGTACTTTGGGGCTTGCAAGTGCTACTTCCTACTGTCTCCGGTAATCTGTCCAAATTTTCTGCACCTCTGCCTTCTCCTGGTGTCTCTATGTCACCACATTGGTGTAAACACATCAACATGGTCTCCTGGCTGCTGAGAGAAGGCATGTAACAGTTAAGAAAGCATTTGGAAATATGGGACACATGCAGAAAACTGTGTCTGCTTCCAAAATGGCTCCGAGTCCCTTTTCGCTCAGACCCAACATGTTTCTCATTTCAGTGGCTCCTCCTCAACACCATAACACTTTCCTTAGTGGTTTCTGCTAGGAGTAGTTTGCGTCCTTCTATTTTTTTTCCCAATATGATGTAAACTCTACTCCATGAATTATATTGATGAATAGACTGAGCCAATCTAGGGAACATCTGTGAAAGATGTTCAAATGTGTTTTGAAAAATTTTTGTGCAATCTTTTAGCAGGAAAAATTGAGCTGTTTTCATTCCTATTAGTAAAAAAACCTGCAACGGGCCGTGCTTGATATGCGTTGTCTTGTTACCATAGCACTGTGGAGATGGAGGTAGAAAGAGCAGGTAGAAAGGTAGAAGGCCTTTCTATCTTTGGCTACATTGTGAGTGAGAGGCTCTCATGAACCCATGCGTCAAAACTAAACCACACACCAAAAAATAATGTTCAGCAATTCCCAGGGACTGATGATTGGACTGTCTGTCTGTCTGTCTATCATCAACCTGTCTATACACACACATTGTGTGAGTGTGTGTATCCGTGAGTATGCATGTGTGTGTGTGTTTGTATCTTGATCTATGGACATAGTTGGGATGATAAGACACCAAGCCATAAAGCCACATGTCTTGTGCTTCACCGTAAGAAAATATTACACTGTGTATTTTAAATTACTTTGCAATTTCTCCAAGAGTTATTATTCTATGAATCACTAGTTGGATGCTTTCTATTTTTGAATTGTAGAGAACGGAATTGAATAAATGCTTGATAATGCTATGTATATTTCAGGACTTCGATTAGCAAGCTCTTTGAAAGATCAGTACCTCACGTATCTTACATGAACTGATTTAAAACTTCCAGCTATACATACCTAGATTCCATCTAGTGTTTAATCAATTGGACACTTACAAATAATGGCTAAATGATTCGCTGTTGTACGGAATTGAGCTCTGCTTTTCACACAGTGACAGTAACATTTTTCTTGTAAGACTCACACAACAGATAGTAAACTTTGGCGTGATATCATTTACATGGATCTCAACAGCCCATTAGCCGTGTTAGTGACTCCTCTCTTGCCAAGCCTTAGCTGTAGGCTAAGCTGCTGTGTGCGGTGTTGTGTAATCCGCTGCATTCATTTTCTCCACCTGTTTAGCCTGGATACATACAAGGTGACTGCATTGTCTTTTCAACTCCCGTCTCACTGTAAACATCATGGATAGGAAATGAATTTGGGGCACTGTTGTCTTTTTTTTTTTTTCTGATGGAGGCTTTGGAGAATTGAATCAACTCAGAAGGATAGTTTGTCACTATCGGGTTCTGCCTTTTGGTTATGTTGACTGTCAGCCCAGTATGGTTTTCCAGGTGATAAGAATATGCCTGAGTCTCAGCTACTGGAACAAATTAATATCGGTCGGGGTTTTAGGAGAAAAATAATCTCCACTGTGAGGGTGTGCAACAGGATGATTTTCTGAAAGTCCTTCTCTGTCTCCTTCTTAGCCCTTATTTGATCTGAGGGATTGGGGCATGCATTGTCAGGTCTCTCTTCTCAAAACCCAGGAAGAATAAATCTCAGGAATTAAGACTGAAATAAGTTTGCTGATCTAGAATATGATTCTGAGAAGACCTTCAGCTGTCTTTTGTTTTAGTGGACCCCTGCTGGAATGAGCTATCTGGGCAGTTGGGTTGATACTATTCCTAATACCCTTTTGGCCCAGAAAAGAGGTAAATTGAACATATGCACCATTAAGTAGAGAGTTCAGGAAGACTCTGAATTGCTTTAAAAATATCCATTAGATATGTCCCATGGAAGACACTTGGATACATAAAATTTTCCTTGGGACACCAGCATAAATAAGCATGTAATTTGCATAGTCATTTTCCTTCTCACAATGGTTTTGTATATTATTTATTTATTGTGGCATTCTCTCTTCTGTGGTAATGCCTCCATTTGTTTTTCCTTTTATAGCCTTCTACATTAAAAAAATATTATTTTAAATATACTCAGAATTCACAGGGGAAAAGGAAACATTTCTTTTGGTGAGCACATGTGGTTAACCTTGGGAGAGAGGAGTCAGTTTGGGGCCCACTTTGCTAGTGTCAGTTTGTTTCACAAGTCCACAACTCCATGGACTCACTTGGAGCCCTAGAGAAGCCATTGGGAGCAGGTGGCACGTTCTGAGTGATGGGTTACAGGGATAAGCAAAGTCCAAGGGTCCTTCAAGTCCTGTTTATCACACACTGTGTCATCTTGAACACTCACTCATTCCTAGTTATCAATTTGTTTTCATTAATAAAATAAAGGCATTAAATCAGACAACCCCTAAAATACCTTATAACTTGACAATTTATTATCTTGACAGATCCCTTCCTCTAATTATATGAGAGATATTAAGCATGGTCTGGCACATTAAATAACATCCCGGTAATTGCTGCTTTGTGTCAAGGGTTTCCTCCTTGAAGGGTCCCCCATGATTACGATAAGCTCTGAATTGTTCTCCTCGCTCATCCATCCTAGTTCAGTGGACAGTGCATAACTCGGGTTTTCACAGAAGATGCCAACTAGTTTGCCACATGTAGCACCAAGGACCACACTGCAGTTATGAGTATTGTCTTTCTCTGTAGAGAAAGAGCTGAGGTGTGACAGTTGCTCCTAATTGTCACCTGTTCTCATTTGGAGTCATGTCCAGGTCTGTTGTCTAGTTGCATTTTAACAAATATGTTTCTTCACTCATCACAAATGAGAGAAGAGATCATGACAGTAGACAGGGCAAGAGAAATTAGATTGAGTATATTTCAAACACACAGACGGTGTCAAGTTTCTGTTTCCTGACATTTTGGGGCTATTTTTGAGAAAATGCAACAGACATAAATGAGTGCCACGTGTTACTAGTTTGCTTATTATATATATATATATATATGACGTATATTGTAATTATATATGGACATACATACACACGTAAACGAATGAACATATAAATGGCTGGACACACAAACACATACACATATATGGGTAGACACACACATATATTTGCTGCAGTTTAGCCGTCTATATGTAAGCAGGTACCTTTGCTATGACTGTAAGTGCACAGAAATATGCAGGTAGACACGCCATTGAGCCACTGTGTAGCATGCAGAAGAAACTTCATCTCTTCTTCAACCCTCTAGCATTTATATTTTGAATTCCTGATTTCATGGTGTTGTGACGCTATGATTAATTTAACTATTTATAGTGGGTTTTTTTTTCTTTTTTTGTCTCTCAACATAGTGAGAGTGACTGTTCTACTTCATTTTATTACCGTGTGAATAGAAAGTATGTGTTTTGTTGTTTTGTTTTGCTTAAGTAATTTGTGTATGGACCTAGGCTGAGGTGAATTTGGTTTTGGCTCCTAAGGTTGAAATGTAGTTTAGCCAAGGGAAAACAGAATTTTCCCAACCTCAGTCTGTATCCCTAATCTTTAAAAGGAAACTGCATGTCTATGAGTATCTTATTGCCAATTTTCTATTATTACTTAAGTGCTTTTAAATAGCAGTTGACTGAATCTGATATGAAATCAAACATTCTGAGTTTGCCTAGCAAGAAGACACATGGAAGTTCATGTGCTGTGTGCCAAAATTGTGAATCAAATAATGTGCAAATTGATCAACTTAGCTATCTCCAGTTTCCTTAAGTTGAAAAGACGTTCATATCTACCTGGAGGTCCAGGTTCAAGTTTAACTTTTTTTTTTTTTTTTTGACTCCTTGGGAAAAACTGCTGCAGGGAGAACATGCCACCAGACTGCTCCTTAGCCCATGACCTTCCCTAATTCTCTTCCTCCATTCAGCTCTCTCTTACAAGGTATCTAGGATTAACGCATGTGGACACCCCAAGTGACATGGCAAGCTTTGTCTACTGATGTAGAAACAGACACCAGCATCATGTTTTAATTTCAGAAAATCATGGTTCTAGAGAAGACACCTACTCAAACAGGCTTTGACTAGGGAATAGGTGTCAGAACTTGAAATGTGTTCTTGCAGGAGTATATAGATTGGGCTGGAATCCTGTCTTGGTCTGTTTCTCCAGTTTGGGGGATAAGGTTGTATAGAAAGCAAGTTCCGATCAGGAAGGGGCATTCTGAGGTGAAGCCTTTCATCTGCCCAGAGCACAAGACCTCTTTGCTTGAGTCTAAGGGTTGTATTGCTTTCAGGCCAAAACTTTACTGTGCTGTGCTCTTTCCTTCACTGGACTTATCACCTCGTCTAGTCCAATCTTCTACTTAATAACCCAGCCATGTTCTATGGGGCTCCAGATTTTACCATATAAATCACAGTTAGCTAGGTTCCTGATGAATGGAAATCAAAGCCAAAAATCTTTTAATTTAATTGATTTTAAGTTATTGTTTAATAAAAGGTACAGAGAGCTAAGGAGTCCTTTGTCAGAAAGGATGGTTAGTTATCTATTCTGAACCAGATCTATTATAAGCATTTAAATACCATCACTGAAGCAAAGGCAAAGGGAGCCTCGCTTGACCATTTTGAATAAATTTTATTCTCAGGTCTTTCTTCCAGAACGTTTGAAGGAAAGGAAGCCCACTCCCTTGAACTGTTTTTGTTTGTTTGGTTTTGTTTTTCCCTCTGTTGTGGAGACACATAGTTTCTCTGTGGTCAGCTCTTCTGTTTTCCGGAGTTAAGTAGGAGCTGCCTAGAGTAGATTCTTGCTTCTCAACACATGACCACTTTGTCCTTATCTTTACCTACAGCTCGAGAGGAGAACGTGGCCACTTTCCGAGGCTCAGAGTATCTGTGCTATGACCTGTCCCAGAATCCGATCCAGAGCAGCAGCGATGAAATCACCCTTTCCTTTAAGACCTGGCAACGCAACGGGCTCATCCTCCACACGGGCAAGTCAGCCGACTATGTTAACCTGGCTCTGAAGGATGGTGCGGTCTCCTTGGTCATTAACCTGGGGTCTGGGGCCTTTGAGGCCATTGTGGAGCCAGTGAACGGGAAATTCAACGACAACGCCTGGCATGATGTCAAAGTGACACGCAATCTTCGGCAGGTAATGGCCGGGGAACAGCAGACCTGGAAGGCCCATCTTAGGCAGACACTGTGAGGCAGGTGACTGGTGAGGTGGTGAAGGCTAGGGATCTGGGTGGAGATTTGTCAAAGTATAACTTTCTTCAAGTTTTTTTTTTTTAAATTTCGCAAGGAAAAATGATTAAACTATTTTTCTCCTCATACTTCAATTCCCCATTTGTCCTTGTTATTTAAGAAAAAAAAGTTAGCTGTATAGATAATAAAAATGATAAGTACTTCCATCCTTTTTAGTCTGCTTTCCTTTTATCATTTTCTTAATTACTTTCGAATCTTAGCATATTGTTGTTAAATTCAATTAGGGACAGCATTTTGTTTCCACAGCTTGATGGATTGTCCTCATTCTTCGAGTATATGTTGTTTTGTTTTGTTTTTTAAATTAAGTTAGCCATTGCCATGATGTCATGATTATAATTCCCTCCAGGAAAAAAAAAATATTTCTTTTATTCTCCTCTCCTATTAATTTACCATCCCTCCCACTTTTGTTTATATATCTATTTTACTGTTATGTGAACCTCTAGCCTTAGAATTGACTAGCCAGGATCTTTCTGAATTCATGTTTCTCTGTTCCCTGACGCTGTGGTCCTACCTCACTGCCCTTGTCTCTACCTCCGAGACTCTTCAGTTGCCTGGCAAGTGGAAGCACCCAAATAAAAAATGTCAACTGTGGAGCAGCTTTCCTGATGCTGTGTGTGCCTGAGAACTCCCATCGCTTGTGGATTCTAAGCAGGCAACTCTGTCAGGTGACACCACGTCCCGAAAGCCCGAGCCAGCCCGAGCCAGCCAGTGCTGTTTTCCATTCCATTGCTAGTAATGATAATAATCAAACCTTATCAGTACACATCAGCAAAAGAAAAGCATTTCCCACCAAAGCCAAGGTCTGTGCTGAGATTGCCTTTTTTCATGTTACTATTTTCAGTCTGTTTTTTTCTCTCCTTGTAAATTTGTCACGAAACCCGGTTGGACAGCATTCATCCTTTATTAATCAGAAAGCTATGCAAATTTCCAGAAAGTGCTTATCAAATTTTCTTCTGCAATATGATTGATATAGTGCCGTCTTGTGTAAACATGGAAGCATAAGACATGACAGGTGTTGGCATTATGTTTTCTGTTTGATAAAAGTATGATTCCTACGAAAGGCTAAACAAACAGCATAGGCTGGCACACACTGGAACACATAGTCAAAACAGCCATCTACATACTTAACTATATCAAGGAAGCCAACTGATTGGAAGATCCCATTCTGTTTATAGTAAACTTGTCAAGTAACACAAGATTTAGACTCCCCAACATTCTTACCACATAGGAATTCAAATTTTGTGAATCACTGTTCTATGATTTCCCTTCAAGGTCAAATAACTAATACTTAAGTGCTTTTGTTCATTTCCTCCATCCATGGCGACACAGAGGAACTTCTTACAGAGATTCTCAAATCAAATTTTCATTTGTAGACATAGACAGACTTAATGCATATGGGTTATGAACTCCAGACCAAAAAGTGAATTATGACCTTTTCCCAGTTTTGATTGCCATTTCCAAAATACCGTTGGAGCTTTAGCCATCTGAGAGGAAATTTTATGTTCTGGGTAACATTTTTTTTGGTCACAGGTCTCATCAATTTGCTTTTCTTGCTCCCATCCCACACACTTCCTACTTACTCATGAATGACTCCAAGTTGCTCACAAAACTCTCACTTTTTTTCCTACTATCAACACTTTTTCAAGAGTATCAGGCCCCAGTTAAACCTTTAAAACTAGAGCACATAAGTTAAATTATTATTCAGATATAGTTGTGGTATTTTGGCCAGGGGCACTGTGGGAAAAATCACCCTGTAGAGTTTTTAATATATTCCAAGTTCTGAAGGTCCACCTTCTTTCTGTGCCCTTGGACAAGTCACTTAACCTTCCTCCATCACAGCTTGCATTTACAAACTCTGATTACAATGCTCCCCAGCCACGTGTGTGGTGGCTAAATATGCAAAGTGCCTTCTGTTCCAGAAGGATGATGAGCTCTTCCATGGTCTGGGTGCTAGATTTGCTGTGACGTGCAGATGATTTACAAGCTGAGCATTCAGTCCCAGAGGTGACTACTTCTGCCTGCTGCCAGGGATGCAGGAAAATGGAGTTTCTTATTCTAATTAAAGCTGTTGCATTCTTGGGGGTTTGGAGTATTTCTTAGCAGAGAGAATCTTGAGTTCATGTAAAAAAGGCACACCTGTATCACTTGAAATTATTGAAATCCAAATTCGGGGGGGGGGAGAGGTTTGATTTTATTTTATTTGATTTTTACAAATAAATTAATTTAATATTGTATAATCTCAGATTATTATTTTGCCAATTAAAATATTTATACCAACCATTTACGTTCCTGAGAATGCATTAGAAAAAATGGTAAGCCTCTTTGTTTCTCAAATAAACTGTAAATAGCTTCATAAATATTTGATAACAAACTGTTGGCAACCCACTTCTTTCTCTCTTTCTCTCTCTCTCTCTTCCTTTCTCTCTGTCTTTTTAAAGTAAAATATAATGTCTTTGGTGGGAAAGATTTATCTGGGAAAAATTGGCCTGGAGTTTTATAAGAGTACCCCTTACCAAAGGGGCCAGAACAACTGTTACCTCCAACCCTGTGGCCACCAGTAGGTTGTTCTGTCCTTATGCCAACTTAGAGTTAACCAAGATACTTCAGATTGAAACCAGGACTTCAGATTGAAAAGTTTGACATATGGATTACCTGTATTTGTTTTACATTATAGCTGGGATTGGAACCCAGACTGCATGTGTGTGTGCCTGTGACGGCACAGAGGAAAAAGTTGCCCTTCATCTCCTTAGGCTCCAAGGTCAAAACTCTACCACAGCACTTGCTTTACCTCTGGGTGCCACTTGTGCTAAAGCATCTACACAAAATAGGTGGAAGGTGTTTCAGCCTTCCAGCCTCCCAGCTCGAAGGGCGTTACCAATTGAGCATTTGGAAATCATCAGCAAGGAGGAGCTTAATTGTGGTGAGGGCTTTTCTAATCATGTTTAATCTACCATTCTTCCTGCTGCCGATTCACAAAATTGTTTAAAAGCTTACTGAAATTCTCCAGAGAAATGTAGGTGTGTGTCTTCCCGCCCATTCTGGCAAAATAAAGAAATTAATAACTTTATTGGGTAGTAAAGAGTAACTTTTTGATCCCTATGACAAAGACATAATAAACTCTAAGTAAAAGAGATGTGAGAATGTTCCTTCTGGCTCACAATTCCACAAAAATCAATGGGGTCACAGATTAATCTGAGGAGACCTAAAATATGTTGTGAAATCCAGCCTTGCTGTGTGAGGCTCCATGTAGTTAGATTCAGATGTGAAAACAAATACTAACATAGCATTAGTATGTAGTTATCTGTTTGTCTACCTGTGGAGTGGTCTATTTGGGTGAGGGAAATGTGTATGCATTTGTCAGAGGGCAGGAAGGGGACTTTGGCAACATTCATTCAGAAGAGCCCTGGAAAGTAAGTATGGCAGTAATTCTAAGCAGTGAGGTTTTGGTCTGAGCGGTACCATGACTGGTGGCTGAGTCCCCAGGAAGAGTTTCCATAGAGTCCTGGTCTCATTGTCTTTCCCCACTCTCTTTCTGTGTTGGGTGCCTTTTTTTTGAAAAACTAACACAAGATCACTCATGCAATGTGTCATTTTACTAACCGACTAATATACTAACACCCTAACGACTCATCTTTGTTTTTAGTTTCTTTTAATTAACAATCGTTCTGTTCACAATTTTTAATTTCCTTTCTTCCCCCTTCTCCGCAAAGCACTCAGGCATCGGACACGCTATGGTAAACAAACTACATTGTCTGGTAGATATCATTCTTATTGTCTTTTTTTGGGTTTGCCGTGTGTTGCTCCCCCTTCCTCCCAACCCCTCTTTTGTCCTCTTTAGACTTATTCCCTCTTCCTCTTCACTTTTTTTTTTTTTTTTTGGTTGTTAAAGTAAATGCAAGCCATTTTCTTTAAAAAGAAAAAAAAATAGAAGGAAACTTCGCTGTCCTGAAAATACTATTTATTCAAGTTTGGTGGGGACAGTTCCTTTTCTCCAGTTTTCTTTTGTTTGTTTGTTTTTCCCCTAAAAGTTATTTTTTTTTTAAAGAAAGTCTCTTCAATTAGATATATTTTTATTTACCTCTTTGTAACCTCCAAAGCAATTCCTAGTGAGGGCTTCCTTTTTCTATGTCTTCTTCCCCCTTCTCTCTTCCTGTTTTCTCTGTCTCCTACCCACTCCTTTGTCTCTCTCTCTTTCTCTCTCTCTCTCTTTCTCTCTCTTTCTGTGTCCCTTTATATAGCTGTAGCTGCCTCAGGTGATCTTGGGGAGGAAAAGATGCTGCTTCCTATAATCTTCCTCTCTCTTCTTTGACCTCTTTCCCCACTGTGGCCAAAAGGGTGTGCCACCAATTGTGTTCTCCATACATACTGCATGGCATGGTCCTGTCTCGTGGAACATCCATCAACATCACAATCTGTCCTCCACTGACCTCTATGTTACTAACAACTGGCAACCAACCATCAACTGAGTTCTATTCACTCTTCCTCCTACCCCCATCTCCATCCTCCTCTCATTCTTCATGTATTTGGGGGTTGGGTTTGGACTTTTTCTTTTCTTTTTTCTTTTTTTCTTTCCCAGTGAGGGAGGCAGCAGGCAGGGGCATTGTTACCCTTTAGTTTGGAATATTTTATTTCCCCCACTTTTTATTCTGTTTCCCCATTTCTTCAGTTTGCTCAAGTGCATGCATGTGTGGCGTGAATTTTGTTTCTGCTATTTTATCCTTTCCCACAGAACTACATTCTTCCCCCTGCCTTCTTTCTTGGCTCCAGATGATTTCAGCATGGGTGTGTCAGTGTATGGTGTGTGCATGTTCTGAGGCTTTATCTTTTCTCTCCGCCCTCTGCTCGTGGATGGTGGGTGTATGGGTGCCAATCACCCCATTGGCATTCTTACTTTGGTTTTCATTGCCTTATCATTCATTTTTTTTTGTTAAAGTTTCTCTCTCTTTTTTATGAGTTTGGGTCCTTTCTTCTGTTGGTGATGGTGGTAGCTAAGGGAGGGCAGGGGTTGGTACCCTGGGGTAGTCCATAGCATGTATCATTCTGGACACATGTTAGAACAGCGACCTTCTCCTTCATTACCTTGAATGCATGTTTGTTAGTGTGGTGTGAACCATAGAAGAAACAAATAAAAAAAAAAGAAAAGAAAAGAGGGGGAAAAAAACCACTAACAACCAAAGACCAACCCCTAACATATACCATTGTCGAATGTCTCCTTTGATGTTTTTCATTACTACCATAAATAACAATCATAAGACAAAAAATACCAATCATTTTTAGCAGAGAATTGAGACAAGTGAGATCGTCTAAGGGTGGTTCCATTTTCTAGCCTGACTCAATGAGGTATGTACTGGGTGGAACAAGGGACTCAGCCTAGCCATTCTAACACACTGTCCCGTTAACCACTAGGGAAGACTGTAGGCTTGGGACATAGGAAGGCAGACCAGAAAATGGAACGAGACTGTACCTACCTACCTAAGTCAAGCCAAATTAGAAAGGATACCTCACCAAAGATCTTAATGGAGGTGAAACCACAAGTAGGGGCAGCCATTGGCTCTTAGTAGAATTGTAAGGTCATTGCTGGGATTTTCTTTTTGTCCCCTATGTCCCACTACCAGGTGACAATCTCTGTGGATGGCATCCTTACCACAACAGGCTACACTCAAGAGGACTACACCATGCTGGGTTCAGATGACTTCTTCTACGTTGGGGGAAGCCCAAGCACCGCAGACTTGCCAGGCTCGCCTGTGAGCAACAACTTCATGGGCTGCCTTAAAGAGGTAACACCTACATGCTTCCGTTGAATAAGTGGCTGGTATACCTACTTAAAAAAAAAAAAGACCAATGACTATGCATGGCCACTAATCATTGAGTGTGATGAAATGTGGGAGACAAGACTTAAGATTGTTGGGTGGCCTTGAGTTTGCTACTTAACTATTCTATTTCCTCCACTAACTATATAACTAATGAAGACTCTTATTGCTCAGCTGTGCAATATAAAGGAAACATGCATTGTCCATGAAGTCACAAGGAACTAGACACAAGTAAAGGTTGATTTTGTGCTTTTCAGCCGGCATGTAGGGAAGCTGCAATTAGAAGCCGCACAGTTTGTGTGTCTTGTCTAAAATATAGCACATGTATTATTTCATCTTTATTAAATGGGAAAGTCCCAATACTTCCCTTTTTTTTCATTTGTTGAAATAAATGCAAAAATTTCAGTATGTAACATTCATGCTCAGAAAAATGGGCTTGCTTTTCTTTCTTTGTTTTTCTTCCCTGAAAGCTCATCATGGTAGCCGTGGGGAGGCAGCAGGGCTTTGCCAGTCTTCATTTGTTACCCTTGTAGCTGATGTGTTAAGATCTCTGTCTAAGAGCAGAGGAGCTTCAGTCAAGTGTAAGTTCAACCTCTAAGGTCAAGTGTTGAGGCAAAAAGAATCAGGCTTGATTTGCTAGAGCTCTTTCACCACGCTGTGTCACGGAAGCGCCACACTGTACATTTTCTTTAAACTAAGCTAAGCTTGATTGCCTCTGATATCCATACCATTTCCTTAGGGAAATTCCTTGAGAAGCTAATAGTGTTTCTTCTTCTAAATAAAAATCTCTTGTGACATCTTGCGATCTTCCTCCTGGGGCATATACTTTATTCTTATTATAGTTATGTGGAGTTTATTGAACAGCAGACATACAATAGAGGGTGTTGTGCATGGACTCTTTCATCAGGGGTAGTGAATGATAAACATGAATTGCCTCTACTATAACTGGCACACAGTAGGTATACAGAAAAATATTTACTGAATGGACTGATGTATCAAGCAAATAGCCATGATGTACCTTTAACTGGGCTGTGTTTAACCTTCATGGCTCTATATAAGTGATGGTCTCTGTGCTCAAAGACTTTATAGTTTGGGAAGGGAGACGAGATCAGTAAGCAAATAATTAGAGCATAGGACTATGTGTTCAGTGCTGTAGACTAAAATGCGCTGATTGAGCAGAGAGAACAAGTACATTTTAGGTGGGAGTCAAATTTAGAGAAGAAGGGATATTTGAGCCAAGCCTTGCCTGAATAAACCATGCGTGAGTCGAGGGGAAAAGGTGGAAAGACAAGACACAGGAGGAGAAGTTCAGCTATAGCATTGTATTGTTCTTAGTCTGAAGGACAAACTGAAAGGAGAATCCAAAGATTGCTTTCCTCTCTCTGATGGTTATTACACCAGATTTTGCTGGCTCTGGGAGCACTGTGGTTGTCGCTGAAGAAATTATGACAGGCACACTGCACTTGTTCCCTGGGATCTACTCCTACTTGAATAGAATAAGGGCACACACTACTGTCTGATGACCCCCACAAGGCTCTCAGGCCCTGCTAAATTCACACTAATTCGAATTGTTCTCTCACCAGAAAATGATTGTGACATTTCCACCGCCAAGGACTTGGCTCAGGAATGTACTAAGAAATGTTTAACATGGTACTGTCATCCTCCATTTTCCTATGGGGTAACAGTCCTGAACGTGAAGTTTCCTGGAGGGACCACATTTTCCCTGTACATAGTTACACTAGATCATCTGTAAATTACATATTTTGAGACAAAGGAGCAGTTTCCCAACTACAATCTTTTTTAAAATCTATTAATAAGGAAGGTTAGATCTGAACATTTTGGGACATCTAAAAAAATAGCATGAAACCCATGATAACTTCATTAATGAAGAATTTAGGTTAAAACACGTACATACATTTGTCAACTAGCTTACAACTTTGTGGGGGTAACATGAAGACCTACTTTGATCCCCTAAAATCTCATGTGAAACTTGGAAATCTGAGATCACAGTTTAAACCTTTAGTTCCAGTGCTGAGGAGGCAGTGACAGAAGACTTCTCAGAACTTGCTGGCTAGATAATAAAGCTAACTCCATGAACTCCAGATTCATTGGGAGACCTCTGTCTTTAAAATTAAGGTAGACTGTGACTGAACAAACCTACTCAAATAACCTTCTACACACACACACACACACACACACACACACACACACACACACACAGGCATACACATGCATATACACATGAACACACACATACACAAACAAGGTGGAGGAATTAAGAATGACATCTGCATATACACAGCTACATGCATAAAAGTTTATGATATAGCTACATGCATAAAAGTTTATGATATTTCTGGAAAACAGAGTCATCTGCAGTTATCTGAAGTAACTGCAGTTAGTGGTAAAATCTTCTGTTTTAGCAGAAGACTTGTCTTTAAGTCTAGAATATTAGTAAGGAATGACAAAGACACAGAGTCTGTAAAACAGGACTTCGCTAGGCCCCACCTTGTCTACGTTGCACATGGATTGTTTTTGTTTGTTTTGTTTTGTTCCCCTAAACAAAACAAAAAAGTGTTCCTGTGAGCACTTCTAATTTGCTTGAGGGCTTGAACATGTATCCAACCTTAAGTCTATGATGTCCTGATGTAGGTTTCTTTTTCTGTTAATCACTGCATTTACTTGTTTTTAGGAAGTCTGGGAAATCTCTTGTATTTGACAACTTAGTAAACAGGAGATGCTGCCTGCCCTGCTGGGCTTTAGCTTATTGGAAGATGAACCCTCTCTGATCATTTAACCTCATGACCGTCTCTCCCCTTTACACCACAATGCCTCTTTCCCTTCCTATCTCTCTTCATTTACCTATCCTCTCTTGATGTTTGTAGCTCTAAGTTGCCCTCAGCTAAATCTGGTACTTTTTAAATGCCATTAAAATTAAAATTGGAACAGAGTGAAGGGATGACGGGATCATCAACGCATATTTGCTTGTTGCACAAACAGGTTTTATTTGAGGAACTCTACTTACCTCCGTGCTGAAAGCTGAGTTCTGACTTTGCAGTTGGGCTAAAGAGACTGGGTATTACCTGTGTACACACCTCCTAACTAGACATCTCTGTAAAAGCTATGCCCAAGTTGTCGCCAAACTATTGTGTTTAGTTGCACATCATATTCCATTTAATCCACTTAATATTACCAAGTTGCTGTCTTGATCGTTTTTATACTGTCCTGTTTTAGTGTATCTATTTAATTTTTGTTTGCAATGGAATCCCTGTAAAGTTGTTCTTAGCTTTGTGGGGTTCTCACAAAGCTATTATTATTCTATTATTATTATTATTATTGAGTGAATAATACCTTTCAAAATGGATCGTTTTCTCAGATAAGAGGTTATAGCATGGCTGACCACTTAGCTTTATAAAGAATACTTTGCCATGGCAATAATTGAATCTTTCAAGATTCCTCAGATAGCCAAGATGAGCAAATATCAAATAAATAAAGGGTCTCAACCAGGTCAAAGTCTCTTTTAGGAAGAACAGTATAAAAAGAGCCTGAGAAGGCAGCATAGTATAAAAAAAACAAGAATAACTGAATTGAAAGTTGGTAGACTCTGGAGCTAGAGAGATGGTTCAGCAGTTAAGAGCACTCTTCCAGAGGACCTAGTTTTGATTTCCAGCACCAACATTTATAATTTCGGTCCTAGGGTATCTTTTGTCTTCAGCGATCACCAGGAATGCATGCGGTGCACAGAGAAAACACTCGTGAACCTTAAAAAAATACCTTTAAAAAGAAAATTAGTAAACCTGGCTAGGAAAACAAACTTGATTGCACTATATGGCTTACTATTAGACATTGATTAAAAAAATAGGAAACAGTTTGCGAACTTGTAAAACGATTCTAAGAGCTCTGTTGCATTCTTCTTAAGGACTCGTGAAATGACGAGCACAAGCCAAACATCATTTTACAGTGATATCTTAGAGATCTAATAAGAATTATACGTGACCCCTCATAAAGCAGTTGTGAACATGACCCTAACTGAATGTCCTTCTGATCCTGCTGATCTCCATGTCTCCCATTTCAGCAAGTCGTTATCAGGGAAAACCTTTTATTTGGAGGCTTTTCCCTGTTGAAAGTCTCTCGTAGTTGCAAAAAGCAGAACAATACAGCCATCCATTCTCAGTCTTTTCTTTCTTTTTGTCTTCAGTTATTTGTTTCATGCTGTCAGTCTCCCTTTGTGAAAATACGAGTTCCATGAGAAGACGTAATTAGCATTTCCCAGCAACTAGAACAGTTCCTGGAATTAAAACTTGTTTTCACTCCTTCAATAATGAGTAAATTCTTTGTTCTCCCTCTCATCCCTTTCTCCCTCCTCTTTTCCTCCCTCCTTTCTCTCTCTTTTCTTCCTTCCTTCCTCCCTTCCTCCCTCCCTCCCTCCCTCCCTCCTTCCCTCCCTTCCTTCCTTCCTTCCTTCCTTCCTTCCTCCCTTCCTTTCTTCCTTCCTTCCAGGTCTCATGTATCTCAGACTGACCTGAAACTCATTACACAGATTGAGCTGGCTCTCTTCTGGTTCTCCTGCCTCTATCTCCCAAGTGTGCTAAAGATGCAGCCTATCTATTTGTGTATGCTAGCAAGCACTCTACCAACTCAACTATATCCTTATCCCTGGGAAGCCTATTTTTTCTTAATAAACCTTCTGTGCTTCTAAAAGTTTCATCCAATGGGCGTGTTTAGAATAAATGAATAAATAAATGAGTTGGCTGCTTGGAGCTCTAAGACCTGGTGAGTTTCTGGACAACATTGTCTTAGTTCAGGCTCCTGTAGCAAAGTACCATAGTCAGGATAGCTTATTAAAAAAAAAAAATGGAAACGTGCTTTTGCCAGCTCTGGAGGCTGAAAGTCTGAGATTAGGGGGCTATCACAGTCAGATTCTAGTGAGGCCTCTTCCTGTTCACAGTGTCATCTACTCATTGCCT